TCATCTTGTTCAAGGATATGATGGTCAATTGTATATTACCTCTTTATTATACAGGATTGGTCAATGATGAGGCCTAAGAATCTGCATTGTTAATAGGTGTCTAGGGTAATCCTTATCCTTGGACAAGTTAGAAAACTGCCGCTCTGAAATAAACATCAGATTTTGTCATTATCCACTTAAAGCTAACACCTCTTTAGCGTCTCCCCGTGGCCTATTGCAGTGGATCTAAGCCTTAGGTGTTCACCTAGGGTATATTTAAAAATCCTGATGCTAGGCAGTTCCCAAATAAATTAAATCAGAAATCTCTGGGGTAGGGACCCATCTGTTGGTGTATTTTTCAAAGCCCCCAAGTTGCTGCCAATGTTGAAAAAAAGTGACAATGATTAAACAGTGGAAATGACTGAGCTCCTTACCCTGGCTTAGAAAGCCTGACTATGAAAAGCCTTACCGATCTTTCCACCCCTACTTTGCACATCTTTGCATATGCACACTACACTCCAGCCTCACTAACCTGCAGCTCCCAAAACCTGGAGTATGGTCATGCTTCTGGGTCTTTGTACGGGTTGTGCTCTCTAAATACTTCCACTGCGTTGGAAAACAGTTATGCATCCCTAAGAACTAAATTACCACTTAGCTTTCCCTTTAGGGACCTGACACACCCAGGCTGAGTGAATCATTCCCTTCTCTGTGCTAACGCCATCCCTCTTCATAGAGCTTTATTACTATACTTATCACATTATATTAATGGGCTACAAGTATTATATCTTGAGGACAGGAACTCTTATGTATGGAATAGAGTATGCAACAATTAATGTTTGTTGACTTAAAGAAACAAAATCAAAAGAAGCAGGAATATTACCTTCCTTCTTTTTTAAAAAAAACACATCAAAATATTTTTTCCCTTATTTTTCCCCCATTACCATTTATCACCCTCATACCCTACTCCACCTCCCCTTACTCCCCTCCCCCCATTAAAATCTTAATTAGAAAAGAATTTCTAAGCTGTGAATCTCACTTGGAGAAATATACCCCAAAAGCAATCCTAAGAGAGAAATAAGCCTTTTCCTTAATCCACTATCAATTAACTTAGTGCACATGTTCTCACTAAGGCCTTTTAAAATCAAGGTGAAATTCATCTAACATAAAATTAACCCTTTTAAAGTAAAATTCAGTGTCATTTAGTAAATTCACAATGTTACCCAACCAACAGCTATATTAGCTCCAAAATATTCATTACCCAAAAGAAAACTCTGCACCTCAAGCAGTCACTCACTCCCATTCTCTTCATAGCTCTTGGAGACCACCAAGAAACATTAGTTTTTAGGTTACATTGAAATATTCAAAAGATATAAAGCAGATATTTAAAGAGATATAGATTCTAAAATGACTGCACAATTGCTTCTAGACACACAGAAAAGAGCACAGTATAGTTTCTCAATAATTTCAAAAACCCCAATGTTTTATTAACAATTTTATGACATGGATATCAAGTCTTCAAAACTGATGGATAAACATGTCCAGAATTTCTTATATAGTCAATGTACAAATACTCACTTATATTCTGCACATTAATAATGAAGACGAAAATACACAATAGGTATAGCTACATTAAAATACATATAAGGATTCAACACACACTTGATGTTATTAGGCTTAGAACATGTGTAGATACTACACACAAAAAAAGGATGATGTAATTTTAAGTAAAATGTGATAAAAACCACTTTTTTCTTTTTATAATTTAAAAATAAAATTCCTGACAATGATTACTAATTTATAGGCAAATATTAGACTAATTCAAATTAGGCAGGGTTAGACATAGGTTAAATTAAACACTTTACATTTAAAAAAATATATTTTTAATGATCTCAGGAAGAAGGGAGAGGGAGAGATAGAAACATAAATGATGAGAACCATTGATTGGCTGCCTCCTGCAGACTCTCTACTAGGAATCGAACCTGCAACCTGGACATGTGCTCTTGACCAAAATCAAACCTAGGACCCTTCAGTCTGCAGGCCAACGCTCTATCCATTGAGCCAAACCGGCTAGGGCACACTTTACATTTTTAAAAATAAGATGTTCAGTCCAAAAAAATACAATTGATAACATTTTCTTAAAAAATAATTAAGAATGGCTTAACCATATTCTTCCAGATTTTGAAAACACACTAGAAAAAGTGAATTTTGAACAGTTGATTCTTTGGAAAGCTGCACTACCCTTACCTAATGCTGGAAAACATCCTTGTGGGCCCCCAGTGATCAGACCCTAATTGGAAACTCATAATAAAAAAATAATACTGAAAACAAAGAGGAGAAATAACCCAGTTGTTTTACTGATGTAACTTACTAGGTGTACCAGTTAATAATGGTGGATATTGTAATAAAAGAAAACAATTTCAAGAGAAACATCAAAAGTGCTTTATTCAAAGTAATATTCATCGTTAGCTACACATTTCCCCCATCTTTCATGTAATTTGTGGATACTGTCCCAATAGAACTTTTCTTATCTTGAGGCAAACCATTCAAAGACCAAATTTTCCACCTCTTTGTACCTTTTAAAGTGCTGCTCAAAAAGTGCGTGTGTCATCCATCGGAACAAGTGGTAATCTGAAGGAGCAAGGACTGGTGAATATAGCAAATGGGTTAATACTTCTCAGGCAAGATCTTTTAATGTGTCTTTAACTGGTTTTGAAGTGTGTGATGGTGCGTCATCATGAAGCAAAATTACTTTGCCATGTCTTCTGGTTCATTCTGGTTGTTTCATGATCAAAGCGTGGTTCAAATTGATTATTTGTTGTTGGTAGCAATCAGTACTAATAGTTTCATCTGGTTTTAGAAGCTCATAAAACGCCATACCTTCCTGATCCCACCAAACACAGCGCATTGTCTTTTTTCTGAAGCAATTTGGCCTTGCAGTTGATGTTGATGGTTGACTTGGATCAACCCATAATTTTGTGCATTTGGGATTCTCAAAATAAATCAATTTTCATCTCTATTCACAATTCGATGCAAAAAACTTTCTTTCGTGTCGTTGAAGCAACATTTTACTGATGACTTTTCAGTTTTCCATTTGTCTTTCATTCAGTTGATGTGGCATCCATTTTCTTCCCTTTAAAATCTTTCCCATTGCTTGTAAACAATCGGAAATTGCTTAATGAGCAATGTTTAATCTTTCTGCAAATTGTTTTTGAGTTTGATATGCATCTTCATTCAATAATGCTTGTAATTGTTGGTCTTCAAACTTTTTTGGTTGACCTAGACATTCTTTGTCTTCCACATCAAAATCATCACTTTTAAAGCGTTTAAACCAGTGTTCACAAGTATCTTGAGATAGAGCATGTTCACCATAAGGTTCTCGAAGTATACGATGATTTTTTCTTCATAATAATGTATTAAGACTTCCCGCAAATGTTCTTTTTTTTCTTGGCACGAAATTCAACATTTTTAAGCATAAAAAATTCTATGATGTTAACACCTTCAGCAAATTTGACATATGAAGTTTTGAAGCTTGCTGTCAATACAACAAAACAGCATACATATCAAATCGCATATATAACAACATATGTGTAACCCCATCTATTGGAAAAAAATCTGCATTATTAACTGATACACCTAGTATAAGGTATGAAAGATATTAATGTGGTTTAGGAAAAGGTTCAACTAGCCCAGGCTGGTGTGACTCAGTCGGTTGGTAGCTTTGATTTCTAATTAGGGCACATGCCTGGGTTGAGGGCTTAATCCCAGGTAGAAGACATGCAGAAGGCAGTCCATGAATGTTTCACTCACATCATTGTTTCTTTCTCGCTCTCTGTCTCTCTTCCTTCCCTACTTCCTCTCTAAAATAAAATTTAAAAAAATCTTAATAAAAAAAAAAAGATTTAACTATTAGGGAATCAATTACACATTGAGAATGACTCATCTTATGATGACTTCAAAAACAGTATTTCACACGTTATCAGGGTGCTAAGTCACTAAATAGGAAATTTTGTTTCTAAAAACTCATCTGTATTTTATTTTACTGGTTTGAGAAGCATCTTTCTGTTTTGAGAATTACATGATATAATCATATATAGTTAAGATTGGTTTAGAAGCAAAATAATAGTAGTTTAAAAAAGGAGCAAGACCCTTTTCATTAGGTTGTGACATAGGCTAAGAGGGCTTAGGGCTGTGAAGCAAGAAGTGTGGTAATGCATGGGCTCAGGTTAAATCTGTTTATGCTCAAGGAGAGGAAGGGATCTAGAGATCCGAGAATAGTAGTGGCATTTGGGTGCGGAGTCACCACAGTGCGTCAGAAACAGGCTGGCGCAACATCCTCTGGCCCAACTGCAATGGGAACCAACCCCTACTCTATATGAAACTGAGAACACAAATATTTCAAAGCACTTTTACCAAAAATAGATTACCGACCCTCATATTACAAAGCACAGGAGGAGGCATTTAATTTTTTTTAAAAAAGCTAAAAAATTAGATTTCTCACTTCATCTTAAAAACAAACCCAAAGAACAAACATTAAAAAAATTCTAGGACTATTAATATATGTAAAGGCACTTAAAACATTATTTTCTTTCCTTTTTTTGTTGATCCTCACCCAAGGATATTTTCCATCGATTTTTAGAGAGAGTGGGAGGGGGAAGAGTCAGAGAGAGAAATATGGATATGACATCATTTGGGGACTAATGTTTCAAATGAGGCATGTGTCCTTGACTGGGATCAAACCCATGACCCTTCAGTCCACAGGCAATGCTCTATTCACTGAGCCAAATCAGCTAAGGCAAAAACATTCATTTCCAATCCAACTCAAAATACATCTCTGTCAACTACATTTTGCATGAATGTTAAAAAACAAACAAACAAACAAACAAAACAGTATACTTTTCGTGTAGTTTTTCTTATAATTCAGTGATATTTACCATATACAAGGTTGAAAGTTGTGAAGGATAGAACCTCAACTTTATGCAAAACAACTTGAAAGTGCTTTTATCACAAAAACAGGAAAGACACTAATGGTTTGCTCTTTCACTGACAACATCTTGTAGTCTTTTAAGTAAAACATCATCATTTTCTTGACAGAGGCGTTTGGCAGGTGATTCTGCATCACCATCAATGGCTATTGCTCGCTTCTTGGTTCTCTGTTCACCTTCCCTTATCATGTTGTTGATATCTTTTAAACTCTGTGCAAAAATAGAGGACATGCATGAGCAAAGGGGAAAAAAGAGAAATAGCACCAAGTACTAAACTAACTGCTTTTTCCTGTCCTCTAGCCTGCTGGGTACAGATTATTTTTTTAAAATCAAGGCTAACTGAATAAGGGTAATTAGAACTAATCTTTTCAGGAATTTTTAAAAAAATGAATTTACCTTATAGTAGTAGTTCCCGGTGTAAACATAGAACAGATGCAGCAGAAGCATCTAGCCATATATTAGAAATGCAAACTCTCATGCCTCATCCTACCCCTTACTGACTCAAATGTTGGGGGTGGGGCCTTGCAATCTGTTTCACCCCTCAGGTTGATTCTGATGCTCCTTATAGTTGAGGCCTCCTTAGAACAATGCTTTTGAAATTTTAATGTACCTACTAATCATCTGGGGATCTTGTTAAAAATTCAGACTCAGATTTAGTAAAGCTAATGTGAGGCCTGAGTCTGCATTTCTAAAATGCTCCCAAAGTGATGCTGATGTTGCTGATCTGTAATCCACACTCTCAGTAGCAAGACCTTACAGAAGTGTTTCCTAAAAACTGCGCATCACAATGTGTAGAGCTAACTGCCAGAGTTTTGTGACTCAATAGGTCTATGGGACAGGCATCTTGTCTTCAACAGTTCCCCAGATGATCCTGACCCATGTTTTAAAATCATTGCCTTACAAATCAATTGGTGCCATCTTTGATTTCATGCATCTTCTAAACATCCTTATAGGAAATTGACTTCTATGAAGAGGAAATGCAAACCTGTAAGGTGCTCTATCTCAGTGTTTTGTTTGCTAAGTACAGTAAAAACTCAACAGATGTTTGTGGAACAGAATGAGAAAGTCATGAGTTAAGGAGCTGCCCTTGTATTTGGATTGAGTTACAATATGCCCCAGTACAATTTTTTCCAGTTGGCAGTGATTGTGGCTTCTGGAGACATACTGAACATATCTCCTTGATAGCCCTTCGAATATAAAAAAACAGCAATCATGTCCCAGTCTCATCTTCATCACGGTACAGGATAAAGATAGATAACAGAACTGTCTGTGTAAATAAGAGGCCTCTTTTTAGACGCTTTACTATCCTTGTTGTCATCCACCAAATGAGCTTTCACTTTCAAGGCCTTTGTTTAAACTTAATGTTCCCTATATCTGACCACTAACAGGTGTTGCATTACTTCTCAAGATTAAGCTTGTGCAGGAAGACACACTAGATTCTTGCACTGAACTCCTCCAATAACATGTCAATAGCAATGGATTAAACTACCTCAACTGAATACAATGCTCTTGATTACAGGAAATCTGCCATAGTAACGGTTCATATTTACTAGTAATAACTATTCAAAACAGAGAGAGCAGATTAAAAATTACTAACTGGTAATGTGAAATTCAGTTTTTAACAAATGTACGTAAGTTGTTTTGGAGTAAAGTTTGTGTGTACCTTACCTTAGAAGGGCTGCCGTTGAACTTATACAGCAGAGCAGTCCTTGGCGTAAGGCCTGACCCATTCTTGTGTGGGGAAACATAAACAGAGTGCTGCTGGGAAATTCGGCGTGGTGAGCCGGGCTGTTGCTTAATATGTGGAAAAGGAGAGAGTGGTGGAGCTTCCATCTGAAATAACCCAAAAGTAAGTTGTTTTAAGATAAAAGTTTTTCTTTTCTTTTTGGAATTCCACCATATTTTTATTCTATTGGCATCTCCTAGGTGGGAGTCAGCTATATTGTAAGAACTTATTTATGGCTGAAAAAAAGCAAAGAAATGAACAGTCCATTATCTCTTATTCTAAGAGAGAAACTAAAATTTATTTTCCTGGATCTTTCAGGAAACTCTGAAGAATTCTGGGTAAGATACCCCACATCCATTCTCAGAAAGTAGGGGCAAAAAAATAATCAATGTCCTAATACTTATAATAAAAAATCTTTCTCAACACACACATACCCACAGCCAAAGCAATAGCAGACAGCACAAAAGAGAGGCAGAGAATTCTATTAGCCAGCAGACTCAGTTCAACATAGAATAAATCTATTAATGAAATGTTAAACTTTATAATAAAACACAAATGATTTAGAAATAGAGTTAGAAAAAATAATAGTTTGGTGAGCAGAGTCTGTACTTTTCTTTAATATTTGTTACAATGATTTCTTCTCAAGAATAAGATGGCTCAAAAAAAAAAAAGAATAAGATGGCTCCTTAATTATTATTCATTTTCATCTTCAAGCTAATAAAATTAGTTGCAATTGACTGACGATAGAGATATTCAAAAGCATAGCATTTGACGGGGGCTAGAACTGATGGAGTAGGATGAGTAGTCATGGCTTCTGAGGACAGATAGTCAGAGAGCATATTCCTTGGAAAGAACAATAACAGAAATAGAAAGAGATACACAGATAAATATACATGGCTACTGGCTGGGTATAGCTTCTACCATGTCCCCCTTTCTTAAAACTAAAGTCTGATCTATTGGGAATCAACTTGGTTTTTATACTGATAATACTACTTTCACAAACTGGTGTGACTGCTAAAGCTAGGATTTGCATAAAAATTTTTTAGCATTGCCTCTATTTATAATTTAGGCCTATCTATATCCTTTTCTCTTTATTTTGCAAAACACATTTATTTCATAAATATAAAATTAGAAATAAAAAACAAGAGAACAATGACCAGATTAAAAATTTTATTTTATTTTGCCCTAGCCAGTTTGGCTCAGTTGATAAGTGTTGGCCTGAGGACTGCAGAGTCCTGGGCTCAATTCTGATCAAGGGCACATGCCTGGGTTGGTGTTCGATCCCTAGTAGGAGGCGTGCAGGAGGCAGGTGATCAATGATTCTCATCATTGATGTTTCTCTCTCTTTCTCTCTCCCTCTCCCTTCTTCTCTGAAATTAATAAAAACATATTAAAAAAATTTTTTTTTCTGTTCCCATCTAGTCCTTGCCCTTATGTATACAGAATTTCTAGCAACATAATGATAATATGGATTAAATTTCCATGATTTCCTCTGGTCTTTGCTGTATCATAGCTTTAATCACTTTGTGATTGCTAGTATATTTTGTCCTATATAATACATCAGTGAGGCTTTAACACTGAAATACTTAACTAGCATAATAAACTCATAAAAATCTAACTATGACTATGATATTAATAAAACAATAAAATATAAAACATACCATATGGTCCTGATTTGACAAGTCATATTTCAATGCAAATGACTTCACTCTTCCTACATATACTGTATTGTAAAATTTGATAAGATCGCCCCTTTCCTCTCTCACTGATGCACTGGAACAATCAGGTGTTTTTGTAACATCTTCCAACTCTGTTAAAAGAATTCAGTGTTATAATAGATATACTACTTTAATATATAAGTCAATTATTTAAAACTCTCTTTACAACAAAAAATCAGATAAATAAATCTTTATGTAAAGCAATCAATGTTTTCAGAAAAGGTTCAGAAATCTACAAATATTATGCATAAATTAAAATCTTGAGAAATACAAACATGTAAACTTAAGGTAGTACTCTTTTCTCCAGATGCACTTTTCTTTCAATACCTTAACAAAATTTAAAAAAAAATTATTGATTTGAACCCAGCTGGTGTGACTTAGTGGTTGAGCGTGACCCATGAACCAGGGGGTCACGGTTCAATGTGTGGTCAGGGAACATGCCTGGGTTGCAGGGTTGATCCCTAGTGTGGAGCATACAGGAGGCAACCGATCAATATTTCTCTCTCACCATTAATGTTTCTATCCCTCTCTCTTCTTCTCTCTGAAATCAATAAAACATATTAAACATTTTTATTGATTTAAGAGAGACTATATAGTCATCATATTTGTCATCTCAATTCCAGTTGTTAATATTTACATAAAATAAGGGGCTATACTAAGTTTGAAGGAACCAAACATTTAAAAGTCTGGCACCTTTATCAGCAGATGAGTGGATTAAAAAAGTATGGTACATCTACACAATGGAATACTATGCTGCTGTAAAAAGGAAGAAACTCCTACCATTTGCATTATGCTAAGCGAAATAAGCCAGTCAGAGAAAGATAAATATCACATGATCTCACTCATTTGTGGAATATAATGAACAACATAAACTGATACACACAAACAGATCCAGAGGCAGAGAAGCATTGATCAGACCGTCAAACCTCAGAGGGAAGGTAGGGAAGGGTGGGGGTTAGGGGGAGAGATTAACCAAAGGACTTGTATACATGCATAAAAGCATAACCAATGGACACAGACACCAGGGGCTGAGCATGAGTGGGGGTCTGAGGGTGTGTGGGGGGAATGGGGGAAAGGACACATATGTAATACCTTGATCAATTAAGAAAATAAAAAAATATATAGAATGAAAAAAAGTTTGGCACCTTGAATTCTAACTAAACATGATTTTACTTAGCTATTTTTTTCATTTAAAAGAAATAAAACAAAATGTCAGTTATTGTTTATGCAGAACAAAGACTCTGCCTTTTAACCTCTTTAAGGACACTAGCACTCTGAAATTAAAGTCTTAGTGGGCCTGGTGTCTATCTTACCACATATACATTAGGATTGGGAAAGAGAATGAGGTCAAAGGTTTCCCTGACTGGTGCTATTACTGTTACAAATCTGTTTCCCCTCAGAGGGTAGGAGGGAACTTCTGCCTAATATAATTAGAGACACATGTTAATATGTTTATGAAATGAACATTTAAATAAAAAACAAAAATTTTCAATTACAGTTGAAAATTTAGTTTCAAGTGTATAGCATAGTGATTAGACATTTATATAACTTATGAAATGACTCCCCCCAATAATTTTAGTGCCCACCTTACACCATACATAGTTGTTATAATGCTAGAGGCCCAGTGCATGCAATTCGTGCATGGGTGGGGTCCCTAGGCCTGGACGGCAATCAGGGCTGATCAGGTTCCCCACCTCCCTACCTTCTCCTTCCCTCACCGCCTGTACACTACCACTGTGCAGTTCCCTGCCTCCCAGTCTCCCCTTTCCCTTGCTCCCTCAGCACCACACCGCCACTGCTGGTTGCCCACCATGTTCTGTGCCACCCCTCGCACATTATAGCGAGCGATCAAACTCCCGGTTGAACACCTGAGGGGACAATTTGCATATTATCCTTTTATTATATAAGATTATTGATGGTATTCCCTATGCTGTATTTTTCATCCCCATGTGGTGGTCTTTTTAAAAATTTGAAGATACTGGCTAGGATCCCAGGACTGTGTTGAATAAGTCATGAAAGCAGACATCCCTGCTTTGTTCCTGTTCTTAGGGGACATGCTTTTAGCTTTTGCCCATTGAGTGTGATGTTAGCTGTAAATTTGTCATATATGGCTTTTATCACGATAAGTTATGCTCCCTCTATTCCCCCTTTGCTGAGTTTTTATCAAAAATGGGTGTTGGGAGAGGATCCAAGATGGCTGCTCGGGTAGACATCTAGCCGCGGCAGCACACAACAATTTCAATGGAATACAACTAAAATGTAGAGTGGACATTGCCCAGAGCTACAGGTAGTCGACTGACTGAAATTTCTACAACAAGAAGGAAAGAGAAAACCAGAAAGAAAATCAGAGGAGCTGAAAAAAAGCCTAAGGTACGGAGACATGCTGCTCGCGCCTGCCCGCACGCACGCGCGCACGGAGAGGTCGCAGCCGGAGAGGAGGAGAGGGCGGGGAGCCGCCTTTCCTTCCCTAGCAGGAAGGAAATAAAACCCCCAGCCTGGGCTGAACCCCCGAACCGGCAGCGCTGAGCCCCCCCGAACCGGCAGCGCTGAGCCCCAGTTATGGGCCAGACCCTGGGGACCCAGGCTCTGGTGGGAGGAGACGGGGCCATGAGGCGGAAAAACGGCGAAAGGCAGGGCCCCGGGAGTCGTGCGCAATGCGCGCAGAGGACTGAATGTTGACTCTGATGCTGGGTTGCCCTAGCCGGAAGAAACAAGGCCTCCGGCGGCGCTGAGCCTCAGTCCGGACTGCTCCGAACCCCAGTTCTGGGCCAATCCCTGGGGACCCAGGCTCAGGCAGAGGGAGACGGGGCTGTGAGGTGGAGTCCGGGGAGAGCGGCGAAAGGCCGGGCCCCCGGGACTCTCACAAACTGCACGCAGAGGACAGTCTGTGGGACTCGCGCAAACTGTGCGCAGAGGACAGTCTGTGGGACTCGCGCAAACTGCGCGCAGAGGACAGTCTGTTGACTCTGATGCTGGACTTCCCTAGCGGGAAGGAGAAAAAAAAAGCTCTAGGCTGGGGGAACGCGGAGGGGAGCGGAAGCCCCTGCCGGACTCCAGCCAACCGGGCACCAGCAAGGAGGCGGGCCACGGGCCCCTGGGGGCGTGGGTGCCCCTGAGCCTTTGACCACTGAGCTCGGGCAATGGAGCCAAGGCCGGGGGCTGCTCCCTGGGCGGCGGCGCCGTCCCGGCAACAGGCTGAAGCAGCGCAGGAGCCCGCGGAGAACAAAGGGGTGCCACAGGCCAACCTGCTGAGCTCCCAGGACAAGGAGGAAGAAACCAAAGAAGTTCTCAATGTGAAGAAATCAAGTGAGAGCAAAAAATAGTAAAATTACTTAAGAAAGAATACAAAGAAGATCTTGAAAAATCAAAGACTAAGTCAGAACTCAACTCACCAGCCAACATTGCAACATAAATGCATTTTAAAAAGAAAAAAAAAGGACAGAATGTTGGAACAGCGACGGCCAGGCCTAGAGTGGCCAGGCACAAGGCAGTGGCAGCCAGACCCGGAGCAGCAACGGCCAGGCCCCAGAACAACAGCAGCCAGAACCAGAGCATCAACAGCCAGCACTGGAGTAGCCAGACCTGGGGCAGTGGCAGCCAGGCATGAGGCGGAGGCGGCCAAGCCCAGGGTGGCCAGTCCAGGAACACCCAGACCCGGAGTGGCCGGGCCCGAAGAAGCCGGGCCCAGAGCAGCCGGGGTGGGAGCAGCCAGACCCAGAACAGCAGTAGCCAAGCCCAGAGCATCCAGGTCGGGAGTGGCCAGGCTCGGAGCGGCCGGGCCCGGGGCAGCCGGGCCCAGAGCAGCCGGGTCAGGTGCAGCCAGGCCCGGAGCAGCAGCTGCCAGGCTGGGAGCGGCCAGGCCCGGGGGAGCAGGCGGGTCGGGTGTGGCCAGGCCCGGAGCAGCGGCTGCCAGGCTGGGAGCGGCCAGGCCTGGGGGAGCAGGCGGGGCTGGTGTGGCCAGGCCCGGAGCAGCGGCTGCCAGGCTGGGAGCGGCCAGGCCCGGGGGAGCAGGCGGGTCGGGTGCGGCCAGGCCTGGAGCAGCGGCTGCCAGGCTGGGAGCGGCCAGGCCCGGGGGAGCAGGCTGGGCTGGTGCGGCCAGGCCCGGAGCAGCGGCTGCCAGGCTGGGAGCGGCCAGGCCCGGGGGAGCAGGCGGGTCGGGTGCGGCCAGGCCCGGAGCAGCGGCTGCCAGGCTGGGAGCGGCCAGGCCCGGGGGAGCAGGCTGGGCTGGTGCGGCCAGGCCCGGAGCAGCGGCTGCCAGGCTGGGAGCGGCCAGGCCCGGGGGAGCAGGCGGGTCGGGTGCGGCCAGGCCCGGAGCAGCGGCTGCCAGGCTGGGAGCGGCCAGGCCCGGGGGAGCAGGCGGGGCTGGTGCGGCCAGGCCCGGAGCAGCGGCTGCCAGGCTGGGAGCGGCCAGGCCCGGGGGAGCAGGCGGGTCGGGTGCGGCCAGGCCCGGAGCAGCGGCTGCCAGGCTGGGAGCGGCCAGGCCCGGGGGAGCAGGCGGGTCGGGTGCGGCCAGGCCCGGAGCAGCGGCTGCCAGGCTGGGAGCGGCCAGGCCCGGGGGAGCAGGCGGGTCGGGTGCGGCCAGGCCCGGAGCAGCGGCTGCCAGGCTGGGAGCGGCCAGGCCCGGGGGAGCAGGCGGGTCGGGTGCGGCCAGGCCCGGAGCAGCGGCTGCCAGGCTGGGAGCGGCCAGGCCCGGGGGAGCAGCCGGGTCGGGTGCGGCCAGGCCCGGAGCAGCGGCTGCCAGGCTGGGAGCGGCCAGGCCCGGAGCAGCAGCAGCCAAGTCCAGAGCAACTAGGTCGGGAGCGGCAGTGACCAGACCCGGAGCAGCTGGTTGTGGAATGTACCAGAGCAACAGAGGCCAGGCCCTGAGCAGCCAGGCCCAGAACAGCTCGCTCCTTGCCTGCCCCTGCCCCACGGCTGCTTCTCAGACATGGCTGGAAACTTTCGTGGGAACTTGAGTGTCTGCTGAATCAAGTGATGAAGGCTTAGATCTGGATGTGTTGAGTTAGTTTAGGACTGGGGTGTTGATCTGTGAGTGCCTTGGGTGGGGCCTGGATGAGGCTGGTTGACCTAGTGGGAAATGTCTTTTGTGTGA